GTGCCGCTGTGTGCATTTCAGTGCGTGCCCCTCCCCGTGGGTGTTGTAAACTTTTTTTTTTTTTTTTTGTGTTTGTTTGTCACGGATGACGCGGCTCTTTTCTTTTTTTTTTTTTTTTTTTTTCCGAAGTGGTGCCCCCCCCCTCCCCTTTTTTTTTTTTTTTTTTCTCCTCCGTAAAAAAAAAAAAAAAATGTTATTTTTGTTCCGCTCGCACTTCTTTTTTTTTTTTTTTTTGGTGTTTTGATGTTTGAATTGCGGCGGTTTGAAGTCGAATGTTCTCCCTTTACTTCTCCCTCTACCTCTACCTCTACCTCTACCTCTCTATATATATATGTAGGTATGTATGTTCCACGTTGTGCCGCTAACATATTTCACTGAATTCTTCTTTTTATGCCTGCGTGTGTAACGTGTGTGTGTGTGTGCCCTCCCTTTCTCCTTCTTCCTCCCCCCTTCCTGCCTACAGCCAACCGTCGGGAAGGGTGGGAGGGGGAGAGAAGACGTTCAACAAAGAGCAGCCGAGATCACCTGGCCATTGGCCTTGTGGATTTATTTGCAGAAACCAACTGAGACCTTTTTTTTTTTTTCTTTTTTCTTGTTTCATTGTGTCTGTGTGTCTGCATATATATATATATAACATACATATACATGTATGCATGTGTGTTTGGGCAGCGCATGCAGTCATGCACGCGTGAGTGGCAGGTAAAGCGCAGCAAACAAACAAACAAACAAATACATGTATATATGTAACTATCTATCTATCTATCTATCTATCTATCTATCTGTATACACACACACATGCACATACAAGCACAAGCAAAACTTAACAGCAACAACAACAACAACAACAACAACAACAAATAAATAAATAAATAAAAACGTAAAAAAAAAAGCAAAGAAGAAGAAACAGTGTATTATTCCCTTCCTTTTTTTTTTTTTATCCCTTTTTTCCGTGTGTATTTTCGCGTGTGTTTGTTATGTGTGTGTTTGCGGTGCTGCGTGGCCGTGAAGGCAGAGACGAGGACGGGGGCGGAGGTAAATTTCACGCCGCACGAAGACGAAAAGAGGCGGGAAGAAGAGGAGGGTGGGGGGAGAAGACATCTGGCAGACGCATGTCCGGCCTGACGCGTTGTGTTTGCCTCTCACCTTTTTTTTATTTCTCTTTTTTTTTTTTTTCCTGCGTCTTCGGTATTGTTTTCCTCCTCCTTTTTTTTCTCCTTTTCTCTTTTCTTTTCTTTTTTTTTTTTTTTTTACTTTTTTTCCCGTCCGCCGGCAATTGGAGGCTGCCGGCCTCGCCATCACCAAAACGCAGGGGGCACCAAAACCTGCCGGACTCTCTCCTTTTTTTTGTTTATTTATTTATTTATTTTTTCGGGTTTCATCGCCCTGCCAATAAAAGTGGAGAACAACCCATAAAATAAGAGGACATAAAAAAAAAAAAAAAAAAAAAAAAAATAACAAAAAACAAAAAATGAAACAGAAAAAAAAAAAAAAAAAAGAAAAAGGAGGGGGAAAACATGAATTGAAATGAACGCGGACTAATGAGTGAAGGAAGGAAACAGGAGGAAAACGGAGTTGGCTGCTGTGTGCTGTTTAAAACGTTTTTCTTCTTTTGTTTATTTCAAACCGTCCATCACTGCCTTCATGGCTGCCGGCTTTTTTTTTTTCTTTTTTCTTTTCTTTTGTATTCCGCCACAGCCATCTCTGACGATGGCATGACTCGCTGCGGCCGGGACTGTTTTCTTTTTTTTTTTTTTCTCTTTTCCACTGTCTCTTCTATTTGGGCGGATGCGGCCTTGGCGTGCGGGCGTGGCTGGTGCCTAAGCGTCGCCGACCTTTTTGCCACCTCCGTGTGAGAGGGACGTGAAGGGCTGAGGAGGAAGGAGCGCGATTGGAGGAAGGAACACACAAAAAGGGGAATAAAACAGCGAGAAGGCCGTAGGGATACGCCGTGTGTGCGTCTGTGTGTGCGAGGTGTAGAGGGGACGAGTGGTTCGTTGGCCGGCTGTATCGGTGAATTGGCCGTCTAATTTGTGTGCACCGTGGCGGGGATGAAGGGGCGGAGTGACGCCGTGGAGAGGAAAGGGAGGAGCGGTTTCTTGGACGCTGACATGGAGCCCAGTGGCGCCAACGGCGTGTTGCAGGGAGACGCGGCGCACCTTGACGGTGCCGCATTGCCCACCGAGGATGGACCAGGAATGCCGCAGGTCACGGTTGACCCCACGAAAGATTTGTGGCAGAATATTATACTCAACACGAGGGAGAACCAAGTCACACAGACGGAGGTGAATGTGTTGATTGTTGGGACCTCCGGTGGTGGGAAAACCAGTCTCCTGCGTCGTATTTTTTCCGGGGTGAACACCTCCAGCTCCTCCGTTCCCAAGAGTTTTCTTCGTGTGAAGCCCACAACCGCTCTGGATTACTCCTTTGTCAGGCGTAATGACCGGCACATCGCACAGGTGGCACATTTCTGGGAACTGGCGCAGGGAATGGAGTTGTCGCAGCTTTGCGAGGTGGTTATCACGCCGGAGAATGTGCACACGATGGTTCTGGCTATTGTGGTCGATTGTAGCGAGCCATCGACCATGTGGGATACTGTGGTTTACTGGATGAAACGTGTGGACCGCCGTGTGATAGAAATTTTTCAAAAGATGCGCGCCAAGGGATCGGCGACGCCGGACAAACTGCTGAGTCGAGCCAAGCGCCTGGTGGGCATGGAACACCCCGACTTGAATCGTCTGCGTCTGTCTGGGGTTCCAACCATGATCATCTGCAACAAATTGGATGCCTTTGCGGGGGAAATGACGATGCTGAAGACTTTGGTTCGCTCCATGCGTTTCGTTGCGCACATTTACGGCGCGTATTTGGTTTTCACAAGTGACGCGGAGGCAATAAAGCTGCGTGCCGTAATGAATCACCTTGTGTTTGTATCGACCTTTGATTTAAAGCACATTGAATTGGATCCCGAGCGCGGTGCCGTTCTAGTCATTCCAAGCGCAGACACCTTTGCTGACATTGGAGAACCGGCCGTGAGTGACATGGGAGGCCTTCAGTCTACTGGTGACGCGGAACTTGACCGCTGGAAGGCGCCTCTTGACGCCATGTTTCCAGCAAAACAATCAGAGGGTCGGATGCAGAACGACTCGTTTTTGAAGCGTCTTTATGATACCGGCGAAAACGGGTTCGGAGAGCCAACCGTAGACGCCGTGCGCAAGCAGAAGGAGGACGAACTGGAGCAGTACAGGAAGAGCGCATTTAAGCGGGAAAAGAGCACCAAAGACGATAGAGGCAAATCGAAGGAAAAGAAGGAGAAGGAATGACACCTCCACATCGAGTGGGGCCGTGCGCAGGTGTTTGTGTATGTGTATATATATATTTTGGGCGAGAAAAAAAGGGGGGCGGGGTGAAAGAAGCACGCATGGAAGAATCGTCGAGCGATTCTTTTTGAAGAGGCAAACCAAATCAAATGAAAAGGAGAAAAATATTTGAAAAAGAAGTGGCGGACCTTGTCCTTTTTTTTTGTTTGTTTTTTTTCCTCTCAGGTTGAACCGCATACTTTACTGTAATAAACGCCGCTGCTTGGATTGGCCTCCTCGCCTCCCTCAAACATTGGTAGGCAGAAACCGAAGACAATAACACACGCACGGAGTGAAAGAAGGGGAAAGAAGACTTTCCTGTCGCGCTTTCTTTAGCTTGTTGGCTCCGTGAGTGTTTCTTTGTTTTTTTTTTTTTTTTTTGGAGGCCACTACGTTAATTTGTAGTGGGTGTGCTTGGGATGAGTAGCCGCTGTGTTCGGCGACGGGCGTGCAATGACACAAGCGAAGAATGAGGATACAGATGAGTCTGCCATGGCGATTGCTCCAGGGCGGAGGATGCGTGTGTACTCCCCAGCGGGTTCGCTGGTGGCGCTTGCGCGGGCGCTGCAGGAATGCGCTGAGCGAATTCATCTTGGACCTCACGGTTTACTCGCGGCCTCGGTAAGCGTTGATGGTGAGCTGCGACTTCTGCGCCCAAGGGCCAATGATGTGATGCGGAATACGGCGGGGCTGGAGGCATGGCAGGTGCTTTGGCGTGTGTTTCTAGCAGATAACTCAACCCCCAGGACGAGGGCAGGGAGTCATGTAAACAGAGGGGCGTATCAACGACTCTCAGATGGTCAGGGACGATTACTCCTCACGTGTGCATCGTTACTGCGTCAACTTCTTTCTCCCAATACACATTACCCGGTCGCTGGCTCTCCGTCTTCGCTACGGAATAGGCTGCGGCTAGTGCGAGTACTGCGTGAGATAACAACTCCTGGGGAGATGCGATATGTTTCCCCTGTGGGAGATGACGAGGACGACGATGGCGCGGAGCAACAAAGAGGGGATGATGTGATTGGTCGAATGGTGCGTGCATCTCTTCGGGATTTGCAGCCTTATGTCTACGGTGTTGCTGGTTCCAAGGTGACACGACGGGTGGTGGAGGGTTGTATCCATTTCATCATGTGCACACACGTTGAGGATGATGTGCTGACGAAACTTCGGCAACTGCTTGTGCGTTTTCTGTGGAGTTCGTCATTTCCAAACGGAGAGGGGGACCTGCATTCCATTGTGGCTCGAGCACGGGACGTGTTGATTGACCCAACATCATACATTGTACCTTGCCAGGGTGAATCGGTACTTCATTCTCGCGTTCTACCATTTGGCACCTTTCTGCTGCCCACCGTGTCTCCCGAGATCTCCCCGCACCAAGGCACAGTCACACCATTTTTCACTTTGGAGCGCCATGGTGATGGACAAGCCGAGCGGGTCATGTTCCTGCGCATCGACGATCAAGGTGGTTTGCTGCAGTTTGAGCACTCCAACAGGAAGGAAAAAATTGATACTGACAGTGACATGGACGCGGGGGATTGTAGCAATGATGGGAGTAGGGTTGTCGAGCGACAGTGGACGACGACGGAGCAGGAAAAGGCGCAGTGGGAAGCTGCACGGATGCTTTATGAATGGGCTTGGATGCACGGTGTGACTGCCGTACTCACTCCTTCTCACGTACCTCCTGTTATGAAGACGTATGGACTTCGCTACAACGTTACTGGCAACAGGGATAAAGAGCGGGAATGCAGACGCCCCATTTTTATGGTAGATGAAGTGGATGAAGTTGGTTTTGATGCGTTACTGCGTCGGTTACAGTACTGGAGACATGAGAAATTAACGGAAAGATGTGGTGCTCAGGAGGATCCCGTTTGGTGCCCCACAGCGGCTGTTTTGCGCCGTGATGTGTTGGAATTGCCGGGCCGAGCGGAGGATGTTCTTTTCCCTTTTTCCCGTCTGGCGCATGGGCCTCTACTTGAAGTTTGCTCGTCTGCCAACGTAAGGGAATTTATGGTGAATAAATGCAGTAACGTGCGAGTGGTGCTGCTGGAGTTGGATCAAGGCACACTTTTGGAAGAAAGTGCGCGTGGTCTTCGGAGGCTTCAGGGTGTGGGCTCAATGTTGCTCGTGGCCCCAACTGCTTATCAGCTTCGCATGTACACAGATTTACTGCTAAAGTGTTTGGCGAGCGTACGGGCAGCTATGGACGCATCACCGTCGAGTGGCGATGCGAGTCCCGAGTGTGGTCTTGGTTTTGTGCGGGCGGGAGGAGCCTTGCCGATCGCTCTCTCACGTCAACTGCGCCTCAGTGCAGAGGCGTTGAAGTGCCAAATGCGGAGGCTCGAGGGCACTAGTCATGTTGATGATGCGCATGCAACGGCCAACTTGCCTGTGGTGGCGGCGGTGTTGCAGATGTTGTCTGAGGTGCTGCTGGAATTGCCGCGGCGTCTGGCAGAACTTATCACTGCCCATCATCAGCCACTGCGACACGCGTGGCTGCAACTTGAGAGCGACGCGATTAGTCGGGCGAAATCTCACTCTGCAAACTCTCTTACTTCCTTACGGGAACCACCGCTCCATGTCTGCATACGCGAGGACGTTTCCTTCTATCGTCGCGCCCGTATGCCTCCACCGTGCGAAGTGGGCCACGGTGACGGAGAGCGAAGTTACTTCTGTTGCAGCGATACGGAAAGTAGTGACAGCGAGTCTGATGAGGATGAGGATGCATGCCGACAGGAACGGTTGCGTGGGCCACCCTCTCTTGGTTTTGTTGAGCCGATTGCGACGACGGCAGGTGCGCTTCGTGCTGCAATAACACTCCTGCGTTTAACGTTGATGGACGACTCAGGTGCGCTCGAGACCGCTGGGTTGTGAGGAAATCTTTTCCCTTTTTTCGCCGTTTTTTTTATTTTTGGTGACATTTCCTTTTGATTTGCCAGGCGCGGGGGGGAGCTGAGTGGTGGTGGTGGTGGTGTTTTTTTTTTTTTTTGCTGCCTGCGCCGTTGTTGCCACTCTTTTGCTTTTCGGCTTTTTCTTTTCCATCTTCTCTTCTCTGTTTTTCCTTTTTTTTTTGTTTTGTTGTTGCTTCTGCTGGTGTCTTCTTTTTCCTTCCGGTGGGTGATACGGAACCAATTTTATTAAAGGGCGACCCCGCCAGCGGTGGGGGGGCGAAAGGCAACACGCAAACGGGGCAGAAGGCTGACTGAAAGGAAGGGGCCGTAAGAAAAGGAGAAGGGGGAAGCAAGCGAACAAACATATATCTACATATACATACATATATAACAAGAGGAGACGTTGTCGCCAATAAGAAGAATAAGTTCTTGTGCCGCTGCGGAGGAGGAAGGAGACTGGCCCATCACCAGGCGGGGGGGTGGGGGGAGCGAGCGGGACTTCGTATGGAGGGGTACGAAACATTAGGCATTCTTGGAGAGGGCACGTACGGTGTCGTCGTTAAGGCACGCCATCGCGCCACCGGCCGAATTGTTGCCATTAAAAAGTACAAGCAGGCGGAGGATGACAATCATGTGCGCAAGACGTCGCTGCGTGAGGTGCGGGTGCTGAAGCAACTACGCCACCCCAATGTTATCTCCTTGCTGGATGTGTTTCGCCGTGACGGTAAGTTGTTTCTTGTATTTGAGTATGTGGAGAACACCATTCTGCAGCTTATTGAGGAGAAAAGGCACGGTTTGCCCCCGGATGAAGTGCGTCGTTACACCTATCAGCTGCTGAATGGAGTGGATTACTGCCATGCACACAACATCATTCATCGCGATGTAAAGCCGGAGAATATATTAGTTTCAAAGGATGGCGTTTTGAAGTTGTGTGACTTTGGGTTTGCGCGGCAGTTAAGTTCCAAGGGAAAATACACGGACTACGTCGCCACCCGCTGGTATCGCGCGCCCGAGTTGCTAGTTGGGGACGTCTTCTACGGCAAGGCTGTCGACATATGGGCCATTGGCTGCATTTTTTCCGAGTTGTCGGACGGGCAGCCGCTCTTTCCGGGGGACTCTGATTTAGATCAGTTGGCTCTTATCATGCGAAGCTGCGGGCCCGTCCCAGATCGGATGGTGGATATATTTGAGCGGAACGCCTTGTACCGCCGCGTCGCGTTCCCAAGAACGCCCATGGAGGAGACTTTGCAAAAGCGATTTAAAAGTTGCAAGGCGTCATGGTTAGAGCTCTTGACGTCATGTCTACGAACAGATCCGGCAGAGCGTCCCTCATGTGCGGCGCTGATGAATATGCCATATTTCACGGAGGATAATTTTCGTGTAGAGTACGAGGCGGAGCTGCGGGCACTCTTTACGCAATGTCAAACACCAGCGGTGGACGCGTCGAACAGCTCGGGTCTCGTTGCTGTGCAGCCTAAGGCGCCGTTATTTCCCGGGGAGCCGGAGGAAACTGGGGAGGTCTTCCTGCCGCTCTTAGCGATGCCGCCGAGAGTGCTGGAGTCGGAGGACGAGTGGTCATTGGGCAATAAAGGGACATCGCGGGGCGGCGCTAGTCTGGGAAATGGGTGTAGCGGCGCCTCCCCCTTTCAGCAGTTGGGGACGCTGTGGAGCCACTACTTGGGAACGGCGATAAATGGAGGTGTGAACAACTCCGGGGAGCTTCCCAGCATTAGCACCCGTCAGATGCAGACACACCACACAATGGCTACGCCTATATTTAATGGCAACAAAAATACGTCCAAGCCGGAAAATAAAGCCAACAGGGAGATGCTTATTAGTTCCATTCAGACATTAAAAATGGCCGGCGGTTCGACGCAGGTTCCGCTCAACCCTCCCTCCACCACTAGCCAACAAGGCTCCAAGGTGTCTGGTGTGCCGCAGGGAACATCCACGCATTCCCGCAAGAATTGGAAGAATCAGGGCATGGCCAGCAAGAAGGCGGACCCAATGGGCGGATGGAAATTGGGGTCCCTGAAGAAATCGATTAAATTGGGTTACCCCATGTTCCCTGCGCTGCCAAGTGGCTGCAGCTCACCTGTGTCGACAGCATTCACCACGACCAGTAGTGTGGCGCTCAATGCGCTGTCTGTCCTGCGGGATGCCAATAGCAACACGGTGCCGAAGTCCATGCCCAAAACCCACACCAACACTGTGCCTACAACCACCACCACCAACACCAACACCAACACCAACACCACTACTCCTACCACGACAGTGAACGCCAGCAACGGGGATGGTGTCGTCAACAATAACCATCCCCCGAAGTCCAAGAGGAAGCAGTCAAAGCGGACTCCGCTGCCAGGAGGAACACCAGCGTCGCCTCCAAGAGTCTCGGGGAACACAACCTCGCGCCACAATGTGAATGGACAGAAGTGCTCCCTGCATGATGTTCCATCGAAACGATAGACAAAACATTTGGACGCGTCTTGTTGACAGCAGACGATGCACGTGCACGGCGCCTTTTTTTCGGGAGAACCTTGCAACAACAACAGCAACGACAAAAAATGACGGAAAACCACAACAATGGTAACAATAAAAAGAGGAAGAAGAAGAAGAAAACAAAAACAAAAACAAGGCACGAAGAAAAATTGCAGCTGAATAGACGGAAAGAAAGAGAAAAGGAGTAAATTAAAAACGGGAAAAGAGAGAAAAAGAGGAGGAAAGAAACAGAGTGAAGAAACATAAAGAGAGGAAAAGAAAAGAAAAGAAAAAAAAAAGAAAGAAAGAAAGAAAAGATTTGGGTAAGCGGCATGAGTCCTGTTTGAGGCTCTGTAACCATTTTGATTGCAACATTTATATACTAGTCCTGGAGTCTAATTGCGATGGGGGATGTCTATGTCTTTTTTGCTGGTCCGTAGCTGAGGGTGGGAACGGGAGAGAGAGAATTTGGATGCCTGAGTGTAGGGGAAAAACGACACGTACATTTACCAGGGTGGGAACTGAGGCGGGGGGGAAAGCGGAAGGCATGCACACGACAACACCAACAGTTATGTATCGAGTATATCAATGTTTTTTTTTTTTTTTTTGTGTGTGTGTGTTGTGTGTCTTTCCTTTTTCCCCGTTTTGCGTTCAATTTAAGGGTGGCGATGTTCGAAGCGGTCTCGTTGCTTTTTTTCATGAACATGCACCGTGTGATTGTGTTCTTTCTTCCTATTGCCAATGACGTGCGCTCACGTACAACTCATTTTTTCATTTTCATTTCCGTTTCCACAACTACGGTTCCCCACAGTTTTTGCACCTCGTTTTTTTTTTTTTTTTTTGTTGTTGTTGTCTTCGAGTCAAATTTTGTTTGTGTTTTTCTGTATGAGTCGCCCGTTTCTTTTTCCCCCCCCCCCTTTTCTTCTCTGCCTTTCTCTCTCTTTTTGTGTTTTTGTGTGTGTGTGCACCTCAATTATCCACTGCTGCACGTCGCTCTCTGCGTGCTACGGCGGGGTGGGTGGGGGGGAATGGACACACACGGGGAGAGAAGGAGAGGGGCAGAGAACGAGCAAAGGCACACACACATGCAGATGCAGACATGCCTGTGGGAAATGATGTAACGAAAGGATTCGGTGAATTGATATGTGTATCTTTTTTTTTTTTTGTTTGTGTGTGTGTTATTGCGTCAGTGCGACGTTGGTTCCCACCACCACCACCAATCCTTTTTTTTTTCTTTTTCTTTTTGTTGCGGTTGCTGTTTGGCCCTTACTTCCTTGCAGCCCTTTCTCTGCCTGTGCGTGCGTCATTTCCTCTTGTCTCCTTGTGGCATTGCCGTTTTTCCCAAACTTCTTTAATTTCTTTGCTGCTTTGCGTGGTTTCCCGCAAATTTTGCCTGAATGTGTTGCGTCACGTGCGGGCAGTCAACAGAGCACAGAAGGAGAATAAAACAAGAGGAAGGAAGGACTGGTCCTCCCAGCCGGCAGTCGATTTGAGAGGGAAGGCAGTAAAGATATATATATATATATATATATATATATATATATACATCGCACATCTCACGCGTAGAGGAAGACAACAACAACAACAACAGACGTCTATTTTTGTACGCATCATCTTTCCACAGACAAGATGCGCATAGTGATCTCTCAAGACAGCGATGCCGTCGCAGATTACGTCGCGAGTTACATCATTGACAGAATTCACGACTTTTCGCCCTCAAAAGAGCGACCGTTTGTGCTTGGCCTCCCGACCGGTGGCACTCCAGTGAGGACATACCAGCGACTTATCCAGGCATACCGTGAGGGCCGCGTCAGCTTCCGCAATGTCGTTACTTTTAATATGGACGAGTATGTTGGGCTTCCCCGCGAGCACCCGCAGAGCTACTTCTACTTTATGAAGACAAACTTCTTTGATTTTGTTGACATCCCCGAGGAGAATCGCAACCTGCTTGACGGTACCGTTCCTGATTTGATCCAAGAATGCCGGCGTTACGAGGACAAAATCCGACAGGTGGGTGGCATTCACTTATTTCTTGCCGGCATTGGAACCGACGGCCACATCGCTTTCAACGAACCAGGAAGCAGCCTCGACAGTGTCACCCGCGTGAAGTCCCTGAACGATGAGACTGTCGCGTCTAACGCGCGCTTTTTCAATAACGATATTCGCAAGGTTCCGACGATGGCCCTCACTGTTGGCATCAGGACAGTGATGCAGGCGAAGAGCGTTCTTGTGATTGCGACAGGATCAAAAAAGGCGATTGCCGTGGCGCGGTGCGTCGAGGGCAGTGTTAGTCACGTCCACCCTATCACCGCCCTGCAGTTGCACCCCTCCGCCGTTCTCTGCCTCGACGAAGATGCGACGCTGGAGCTGAAGGTCAAGACGGTAAAATACTTTAAAGGGCTTCTGAAGCGCGAGGATGAGCTCAAAAGGCGCCAGGAACAGGCTCCCAACACCATGTCGAAGATGTAATTCCAGCAACTGCGTCTGTTGGCACGGTAAGGAAAGGGGGAGAGACCTCCGCGGACGACGGCTCATGCAGAAGGTCTCTTTTTCCTTTTCTCTCCGTGCTGGCGTGGGAAAAGGCAGACAGACAGAAAGTGGAAGAGAGCGAATTCAGTGGGAAATTGCAGCGCAGCAGCGGAGAAGCAAGCATGCAACAAATGGATAGCGCCGCCCTCTGCGTTGTTGACTCTCTTTCTGGAGACGTAGAAATTTAGGCACATGCATCCGGCATTTTTCTTTTTTTTAAAATCTTCTATTTTGGCCGTGTGAATATATATTTCTTTTTTTTTTTTTTTTGTGTGTGTGTGTGTGTGTTTTTGTGCGCGTGTCCGTCAGGGGGTGGCATGTGGAGATGAGGCACCGCAGGCAGCAAGACGAGTGAAAATTTCTTCTTCCCAAAAGAAACAAACAAACAAACAAACACAAAAGCAACCAAAGAGAAGGGGCAAAATCAATCTATTTTTTAAGTGGAAAAAAAAAAAAATAATAATAATAAATGGGAGGGGCAGATTCATGGACAGGAATTGTCACCAGAAACAAAAGAAGGGCGAAAAAAAAAAAAAAAACAACAACAACAAAGTCAAAAAAAACAAAAAACAAAAAAACAAAACATAAAGTCATTGAGGGTGCAGCAAATAGTGAGAGAAACGACTAATCGGACAGGAGGAGGGGGCAAAAGAAGGGGGTGGTATGATGTGGGGAGGAAGTGAGGTTCCTTTGCAGGGGGCACCTCTCTCTAATTCAGAGGCATCTCTTCTTTACATTTGGAGACCAATTCTTTTCTTGCTTTGTGGTTGTTGCTTTCTTCCTTTATGTATGTACGTATGTACGCACTTATATTTATTTATCTATGTATACAGAGCATTCTTTTTTTTTTTTTTTTGTGTGTGTGTCAAATCCTACTTTTTGTGGTAGTGGTGGCGGTGGGGGTAAATATTATATAGAGGTGATGGTAAGATGGACGCCATGAGGAGTGGTGAACGAGAGAATTTTGATGATTCCTTTGTGGAGGATATTCTCCACAGTCGATCACTGCGGAACCAGCTAGAGACGCCGCTCATCAAGAACAGCACGAAGAACATTTCTGCGTTTGCGGCAGCTGCACCACAGGAGGCTGAAAACTCCCCCGATGCTGCGAGCTCTGGCCGTCAGAAGTCTCCCAGGGTGTCAGGCAGCGGAGAGAGCGAATCCTCGTTACGCGGCTCTCGAAGGGTTCTTCAGTCTCTTTTTGGTTATGCTCTTATATTTATAAACTTTACCTTTATTATGGCGTCTATGCTGCTTGTCATGTCCGGTATTGTTGCTCGTCAGAACGCAGCGGTTCGTCTCTGTGAACCGTGTGGTCAAATTGCGATGTCTGCCCTTGTTTTTGGGATTATTCTTTGTCTTTTTACCATCCTTGGGTTTATGTGGATACGCCAGCGGCAAATGATGTTTTTGCTGGTATATGTTGGTTATCTTGTTGTGTTATTTATAGCCCTATTTGCACTTATTATAGCAGCTGCTGTCTATGATCGGGACACACGGGTTTCCGTGATGGATCCCAGCAAGTTTTTGGACGCATGGAAGCGCGGCGTCAATAATACAAAGACAGGTCGAAACCATGATATTTGTTTACTACAAGAGCGTTTCAATTGCTCCGGCTTTCGTGACGGTTGCTGCGTTGCCGGGGTATGCTACGATGCAATTGACCCACCTGAGTGGGTTGATGCTGTCTGTCCCTTGTGTCCATCCTTCCCTCCCATGTCTCCGGTAGTCTGCACTGACGTTGTTTACTCCACAGTGCGGAAGAACTTGAGTGGATTTTTGGTAATCAGCATTTTTTCAATGGTGCTTGTAGTTGTAGGAATCCTTTTTGCGTTACTTTCAAGGAGCGCAAACCGCTTGATGATGTCTGGCGGAGTGTGACACGAACTGGGTTGCTATTGCGATTGATATATATACATGCATATTGTTGTGTGTTTATATTATTTTATCACGAACACTTGTCACAGTGTGCATTTTGAATGCACTGTTGGCTGTTGGTGGCAATGTCCCTTTTTTTTCTGGTTTACTTTCATAATCCCAACTACACGTTGGTAGGAGTTTGATTCAGGAAAGCCTTGTAAACAACAAAAGAAACAAAAAGAATAAATAATAAAAAGGAGAGAGAGAGAGAGAGAGGATGCAGACGAAGCAGAAGCAGACACTGGGGATTAACGGCAGCCGCACAAGTGGGCTGTCGGTGCGCCGTGAGAACGTGACAGCCGCAATGGCAGTGGCCAATATTGTGAAATCGTCACTCGGCCCCATTGGTCTTGACAAGATGTTGGTGGACGACGTTGGCGATGTTTGCGTTACAAACGATGGGGCAACGATCCTGAAAAGCCTAGATGTGGAGCACCCCGCTGCGCGGCTCCTCGTCGATCTCGCGCAGTTGCAGGACAAGGAGATTGGTGACGGCACAACGTCTGTCGTCATTCTTGCCTCCGAGCTACTCAAGCGAGCGCAGGACCTTATTGTGCAAGGCATTCACGCAACAAGCATTATTGCAGGCTACAAATTGGCTTTGCGTGAGGCGGTACGTTTCCTCAAGGAAAACCTCAGTTTGCCGGTGGAAGGCTTGGGCAAGGATGTCCTTCTGAACATTGCACGTACCTCAATGAGCAGCAAGATTCTCAGTTCTGACGCGGACCTGTTTGCCAAGATTGTGGTGGATGCCATTCTTTCTGTTAAGACGGTGAATGAGCTCGGTGATGTCGTGTACCCCAGAAAGGCGGTGAGTGTCCTCCTTCAGCACGGCAAGAGTTCCCGCGAATCAGCACTCATGCAGGGCTTTGCTTTGGGTCTTTCTCGTGCGGCGCAGGGCATGCCAACCTCGGTGCAGAACGCCCGTATTGCACTCATTGATTTTGATCTCCGTGCGGTGAAGATGAAGCTAGGCATCAACATCACCATCACGGACCCAAATAAGGCAGAGGCAATTCGTCAGCGAGAGCTTGACATCACGAAGGAACGCATCAAGAAGATGCTTGCTGCAGGTGCCAATGTGATTCTCACTTCCTGGGGGATTGAGGACAGTATGATGAAGTACATGGTGGACGAGGGTGTGCTTGGCGTGCGCCGTGTAAAGAAGGATGACATGCGTCGTATTGCGAAGGTTACTGGGGCGCAGGTGGTACACACACTCTCAGATCTTGAAGGGGAGGAGGTCTTTGACCCCAAGTGGCTTGGAAAAGCGGAGCGTGTGTATGAGCAGCGCTTTGGAGAGGATGATGTCATCATCATATCGGGCACGAGCAATGCGGTGTGCTCCAGCATCATTTGCCGTGGCGCCAACTATCTCGTTCTGGAGGAGATGGAGCGCGCGCTGAATGATGCACTTTGGGCGGTGGCACGCACGTTAGAGGCTAGCCGCGTTCTCGCCGGTGGCGGTGCGGTGGAAGTGGCGCTCTCTGTGTATCTTGAGAACTTCGCCCACACGCTCGGGTCGCGCGAGCAGTTGGCGATTGCGGCCTTCTCCGAGGCGCTGCTCGTCATCCCAAAGACTTTAGCCTTGAATGCCGCGATGGACGCGACGGATCTTGTGGCGCGACTGCGCGTGCTGCACAATGAACAGCAGGCGGCGGGTAAAAGCCAGGGCGTGGAGCGCTTCTTTGGCCTCGAGCTTATCGAGGGGACCCTGCGCAACAACGTGGAGGCCGGCGTGCTGGAGCCGCAGCCAAGCAAGATAAAGTCGCTGCATTTTGCCACCGAGGCGGCCATCACGATTCTACGCATCGACGACTGTGTGCGTCTCAACCCCGAGGAAGAGGAGGAGCGCCGGTAGATTTGTGCAGTCGCAGGGCTGAAGCCGTGAAGAGAAGAGGAGGAAACCAACACACACAAACAAACACGACGAAAAGAAAAAACAACAACCACAATCACAACAAACAGGAACACAGGAGGCACTTGGGGGGAGGGGGCCTATCTGGATGCCTGCTGGAGGAGGAGGAGGAGGAGGAGCCTGTGGAAGAGACATGCACCGAGAGGGAATCTCCACCCGCCTGTGGTCTGTGTGGCAATAAGAACGAGAGAGGGCGGCCAAATAAAATTAATTCTCCATGGAGGTCGTGACGACGAAATTAAAAAAAAAAAAACAACAACAACAAGGAAAACAAAAACAAAAAAAAAATATAAAAAAATAACAACAACAACAACAATACACGGAGAGGAACGAGGAGAGAAGAGACATAACGCCAAGGGAACGGAGGAGTGAGAGAAAAATCAATTGACCTGGGAGGAAAAATAAATAGCACAAGTAGAATGAAACGAAGAGGGGAGAGAAAAAAAAAGGAAAAAAAAAAGGAGGGCGTCATTAAAAACCAAAAACAACAACAGCGGTAAAAGGATGGAAGAGAAGAGTGGGGTCGGTCTCTTCCTCGTTGGCCGCCTTCTATCGCCTTTTCTCGCCCTTTTTCCTCCCATCTCTCTCTCTCTCTCTCTTTGCCCTATTTCTCTTTGCAGATGCGTACAAAATAAAGATGCCCCCTCATTTTTTTGTGTCATTGTTGGCTCCCTGTGGCCGAGCGGAGCGAAACCACGTAGCAGAGAAGAAAAGGAGTCTCTTTTTTTATGATTACTGTGATTATAATTGTTTTACGCCACTTTCTTTTTTTTTTATTATTTATTGTGTGCGGTCCCGCATTTTGTCGTAGAGTCAAAGAAAGTGAAAGGATATTTACCAAACAATTTGCGGGGGACCGGGACGGAAACAATTTTGAAACACCCAAAAGAAGGGGGATATTCAAAGAGGGGAAAGAGGGGTGACAAGGGAAGAACAGAGAAGGGAAGAAGCAAATGACACTTGCCTCCAAAGAGGACGTGCAGACGCCATGCAAAAGTAATTTGACGCCTTTGCGCGAAGTTGGAGAACAAATGACCGCTTCTGATGAAAAAACCGTGGATGCCCTCTCGAGGGTGCTTGAGGAGGTTCTCTCCGTGAGTTATCTTCGCGATCATGCACACGAGGTGTATGACGCCGATACGACTGATCCCGCCTCCCCAGCGTCCCTTTTGGCAGCTATGGACGACGGTCTCACGGTACCCATGTCGTATTTGGTGGGTCTGCCGGCCGTGCGTGAAATCATACCGATCGGACTGGACAACGAGAGAACGGCAGACTTATTTGTGTCCGCCACGCGCATGTCACAAAAGATAGTACTGCACAACACCCAGAGAGGATTAAGTGTCGGTCCTTTTCCACAGGCCCTTCCTCGATCTCGATGTACGCTACATATCCAGGGCGTGAGCAGCACTGTAACTGTCGCGGATGTTCAGGATTTAATTCCACGTCAGAACATTTTTCACTTTTACCGTCTCTCCCCGGAAAGCATAAACGTTGCCTTTGAAAACGCCCGAAGTGCGAAAGAGGCTTTTGTGCTGCTACAGGGGAAGCCTATTGGTGGATGCACATCAGTACAGGTGAAAATGCGTATGGAAAACGAAAAGCATCCGCAGACCATTTTGCACCGACGGCATAACTGGACGGGCGCAATGCCAAAAACGGCTTCTACTCCAAATAATAATTCTTTAACTGCTAATGCTACTGCTGCTGCCACTGCCAACACGAATACCGTTTCACCTGTGGCACCGATTGACGCATTTGTACCTTTTTCCAAGATGGAAGAGCTTTCTTCGGCTCGGTCACCGTGGGTAAAAGCGTCCAGGCGTGGGTCTATGCTTCGGCAGTTCCCTTCGATGCAGCAGCAGCAGCAGCAGCATGCGGACATCTTTTCACATAGGGGCGGACGACGTGGGCCTCGCGCTGGCCTGATGAGTGGGTTTTTTTCCGACTATTATTCTCCTAATATGCAATGGTTGACGATACAGAGATATATGTGGAATAATGCCGCCGCTGCTGCCGCTAATGCGAACGATGCATATCAAAGGCAATGGGATGAAAATGAATGTCCGTCAATAAACACGGCTTTTGGTTATATGGGCAACGGTGCGGGCATGCAGAATCCCGCCTTAGCACCCCCGTGTCCTGTGGGTGACGATCACTCGAGTCCAGAAGAGAATGCGTGGTTGGCATGTGGTCCAAATCTAGAGCCAGAAATCTTGGGGTATAATGCACCATATACGGTTGAGATGCAACCCTTTTTAAATGAGGACAATTATGTGAATTTACCAACGGAGACGACACAAAGTTTTGTTAATGGACCTGCGTGTTCGGCACGTAGGCGTCGTGTTCAGCGGGACCCATACAAAGGGGGCATTTTGGTCGATAGCCCGGAGGTGAGCAATAATGTATCAACAGTTTTTGTTTCACCGGGGTCCGTGGCAAGCTACAAGCCACGCCCCATGGACTGCAGAATTCTCTCTCCACGCATGCTGCATCCTGAGGATTTTACAGAACCTGCGGAAAAAGCAAAACCGGTATCATCCATGACAGATGACGAGTCACCAGCACAATTAACTCCATGCGAGACAAACAGCCAGGCGCATAGCGACGCCGAGAGTGGTGTGAGGCAGCAGGTATTATGCGAGGGGGGTTGAGGCGTGGGACTTTCAGGTGCCGGCCACGTTCCAAATTGGAACATTTCAAACAGAAATGCAAATGATCAAGGTCTTTATTCGGGCATTGAAAAAGCTGCATGTCTGCTTCTATGCTATTGAAACGAAGGCCAATGAACAAAAGCAAGCAAAATAAAAGACGTGTCTTCCTATATATATATATATATATATATCCCCACGCATATCTGTTTCTGAATATTGATGTACTGTGTATACATGAGGGAAAACGATGATACATTTCAGCTGATAAAGTGAGAGAGGAAATTCAAGGACAGAAGGAGAAAACAAACCAAAACGCAAAACAAAACGAGATTTGTTATGAGTTATACTCGTAAGTAAGCGAACAGACAATTGTTGTTTATTTTTATTTTTATTTTTATTTTTATTATTATTGTTATTATTATGTGTTGCGTGGCAAATTCCACAGTTTCTACCCATCGTATTTCTTTTTATTTATTTATTTTTTATTTTGCATATTTTTTTTTTCTTGTGTGTGTGTGTGTGTGTGTGCTTCCCTTCTCGCTCCTCCACTTCTCTCTTTTCCGTTGATTGATAACCACAGGAACGTACGCACATGTGTTTGTGTGTGTGTGTGTGTTGGCTTCTGCGTGTCGTGATGGAGAGAAGGAAGTGAGTGAGAGGGGAATTCCCACGAATTCATGCGGCGTGGATAATGGCAACAGGAGATCACCGCACACATTGAGTGATTACGATGAACGGTCATGACGGAGAAGGCACGTAATAGGAAGAAACATGAAGGAAGCGAACGCACGGGGTGGGTGGGTGGGTGGGGGGGGGGGAAGAAAAAGAAAGCTCTGTTGCAAATTGTCCCTCCCTCTTGTCAAGGTGTTTTTTCTCTTTTTTTTTTTGCTTCCTATTTATTAACATTTATTAGTATTACTGTTATTACTACTATTATTACCATTATTACTATTGTTATTGTTATTATTTTTCTGCAATTTATGAGGAAAAGTGTGGGGTGTGTGTGTGGGAGTTGGAGGGGGATGCGAAACAAATTACCGCCATTTGGGACATTTTGTGCATGCACGCCCGCCACCTTCTCTCACCTGTTTTGTTTTCCCCCTTTTTTTTTTTTTTATTGCTCGCCCCACCTCCCCACCCACGAATACACCTCGACGGCTACTGCGACGATTACTGTTGGCATTGCTGCTGACAACTCATTTTTGTACTTGCCGTTGTTATTGTTGCGGCCGTGTTCATGTTTTGGAAGCATCGTCCTTCGTGTTGTTGCCACCTTTTTTTTTTTTTTTTTTTTTTTTTCTCGCCTACAACACGAAAGGGACCACGTGCTTCTTTTTTTCTTTTTTTTTTCTTTTTTTTTTTTTTTGTGTTTGTTTTCCTCTTGTCTCTTCCCCTCCTGTGTGGGTGTCAGCGGAGGGGGAGTGGGGAGTGGGCGGGGCACTCCGAGGCACATGTGGGTAACGTACGTACGAAAAATTTCATCCGGCAAACAGGGAGAGAGAGCGAGAGAGCGAGCGAGGAGCCGTCATCTATTTGTTTGGGTGAGTATCGTGAGGGAAAACAGGAAGCCTTCACTTTCGGGGGGTTATCACCGTTCATTTTTGATTTTCTGATCGATCTATATCTTTCCCCCTTCTTGTTTGTTCTTCTTCTTTTTTTTTTTATGTCTCACTTGTTTACGCATATATATATATATATATATTTTTTTTAACTCTTCGTAATCATTTTTTTTTTTTTTTGTCAGCACGAATGCACATGCCGCGTATGTCTGTGTGTAGGGAGTGAAAGCGTGTTTCCCCCCTTATTCGTTCTTTTTTTTTTTTTTTTTTTTTTCCCCCTCCCCCCTCCCCGCTGCTTGGGCTTCGGCCTTTTTTTTGTTTTGTTTTGAATTGTTCTTGTGGCGCCGTCCTTCGATGTCTATTTCTTTCTGTTGGTTGTGTGTCGTCGCGTGCCTTTTTTTTCAATGACGGTCGCCTCAACCTTCCGCCTTCTCTTCTTTTGCTCCGCGTCGCATGGGGTGTGTCGTGTATTTCTGGGTGGATGTGTGGCGTTGCTCTGACCTGCGTACACACACACACACACACACACACACGGGCAATGCCTACTCAATGAAACAAAAAAGAAGGTGCAGGTTTGCAGAGGGGGAGCACGAGGATTTTATTGACACGAATATTTTGTCATTGACATTTGGGATTAATGGCTTTAAACGACGTGAGCGGCCGCGGTGGCGGTGGCGGTGTGCGTGAACTCGGCACCGTGACGGCAGGCATGGCCATGATGAACTTTGATGAGAAGACAAGACCGTACACGCGTGCGGACTTTTTGAGGTTTCTGCAGAACTACGAGGAGAATTTGAGCCCGTCGGAGATGCGCCTCGTTGAAAAGGGGATGTTTGGCACTTTCGTGGGAATGCCGCTTGGCTTTTTTCTCGTTTACAAGCTCAGCGGGCGCCTTGCGTGGCACCGCGTTGTCCGTGTGTTCGCCACCATGGATGACAAGGAGGCCGCAGCCAAGCCGTCGTGGATAGTGCGCAACATACCACGCGTTGGAAGGACACTCTTCGGGCTGACGGGGGCAACAATTCCGTACATGTTGATACAGCAGTGGTTTATCTCGCGGGTTCTGGAGCTTGACGAGCATGATAGTAATCTTTCTTTTCATGTGAGGCGTCTTATGATCACGCAGCGCAGCGGGATGATGTTTAAACGCACAGCAACACGTGAGGTGACACGCGAGGAGCAGGATCGGCTGCTGCGGGAGTCGGCTGAGCAGATGGAGGAGAACCGCTCGGGTCGTCGTGGCGGCGCACCCGCGGGGGCGGTGGACGTCAACTTGCGTTTAGGGCAGCAGGTACTGACGCCCGTGGCGCAAAGCGGCTACAAACCCATGCCGGGCAAGTCTGGATCGTGAGCGACGGCAGCGGCTTGGGTAGTGAAGGGGATGGGAGGGAAGAGGGGGGGGGGGGGGGGGGTGAATGCAATCTCGAGCGGATTCGTACACCAAAAACACGCAAAAAAAAGCAACAACAACAGAACTACTAGAAATCAGTTATGCTGCCTTTTTTTTTTCCTTTTTTAATGGCTTGCATCGGTGTCTGCAATCTTCTTTTATTATTATTATTATTATTATTATTTCTTCTGTTCTTGTACGTTTTGTTTGGTCGCTGCCCGCAATTGGACGCCCCGGCGTTCGCAGTGAAAAACAAAGAAAAAGAAAAAAAGAGGGGACTCCACCAAGTGAAACAACAAACACGGGCATAGACGCCCACACGCAATAATATATATATATACGCACTTACACACACGCGGTTTTGCACGGTTGCTTCAAATAGAGGGTGGAGACTCCGACACAACGTTGAAATACTTATATTCACGGAAGAAGGAGGGAAAAAAGTAGACAGGGGGAAAAGAAGGCACGGAATTGTTTAGCGGTGTTACTGAGCCAATAACAAGGTTGGCCATGATGATAACGGGAGAATTTCGATTTGCGTGTCCGACACTTCTTATTTTTTTTCTGCTTTATGTAGTGTACTTTGCTGTTCCCACTGCTGCCTTTGGCGGGAGGGGAAGGGCAGGCGCACGTGCTCCTGCGGAAGAAGAAGAAGAGGTGGACTACTACGCTGTGCTTGGCTTGACTGAAAATGCCACGGAGAAGGAGGTGCGGCAAAAGTTTCGTGAACTCTCCCGCAAGTACCACCCTGACGTGGCCAAGACTGAGGAGGCCAAGGCGATGTACGGCAAGATTAATCGCGCGAATGAGGTGCTCACTGACAAGAAGAAGCGTCGCATGTATGACATGCGTGGTGAGGAGGGTCTGCGGCAGCTGGAGCGGGCGTTGGCACAGAACGAACAGGGACATTCCATGGATCCTTTTGCTCGGTTGTTTGGCATGGGTAGCGGTGGAAACTTGCGGGGGTCTGATTCGCAGAGCACACTGCACGTTGAACTTGAAGATGTATATAAAGGGACTCAGAGGTCAGTTGTGCTGGAGAAGCAAAAAGTTTGTACCAAGTGTAAAGGTACCGGTGCTTCCCGGGGCAGTGGTGTAACCACCTGTTCCCACTGCCGTGGTCATGGTGTTGTTATTCAGCGTCTCCAGCTCGGTCCGGGCATGTACCAGGACATACAACAGGCATGCCCACACTGTCAGGGACAAGGCCGTATCGCAAAGCACAGGTGCCCTGCATGTAATGGCAAGAAGGTTGTTCGCGGCGAGGTGACGCTGACGATAGATATTGAGCAGGGAATCCCTGAGGGGCACAAGGTGACGTTTGAGATGGAGTCGGATGAATCGCCAGATCTTGTTCCTGGAGACCTTATCATGGCGGTGCTGACAAAGCCGCACCCACGTTTCTCGCGCCGCCCAAATGGGCTCGATCTTGACATGTCACTTACCGTCACTTTGAAAGAGGCACTTTTGGGATTTGAACGACGTGTAGAGCACCTTGACGGGACGGAGTTTCTTGTGGAGGCCACTGGCGTGACACCATACGGTGAGGTGCTGAAGGTTCGCGGGAAAGGGATGCCGCGACATCACATGCCTTCAGAAAAGGGAGATCTTTACGTGAAGGTGATGTTTGAACTGCCAAGTTTTTTGACGGAGGCGCAGAGGAAGGAGATTGAGGAACACTTTTGATGGCGAGGCAAATAGAGGTACCCGATCCTTTTATTCTTAATGCCGCGGAGCGGACCTCTCTTCTTTTTTTTTTTTTTTTCAACCATACTTTCATATTTGCGTATTATAGCGATCAATTTGTGCGCCTGTTTCCTGACACTTTTAACTGGGGATGCGATTGCGTTTTAAGGAAAAAACCCTTTTTTTTTTCTTTGGGCGTGTGTCATTCTTATTTATTCTTTGAGTTTTTCTTTGCCGTCACTGAACCTCATGAAAAAAACCATGCAAAGGGTGGCTGATGAGAAAAGGAGAAAAAGGAGGAGGGGAAAAAGAAGGAGAGGGAGAGAGAGATTTTTGTGTTTGTGTGTGAATGCTTCGTTTTATTTATTTATTTATTTTTTTGGAGGTGGGTGGCGGCTTGTGGTGGCTGATTGCATTGTTGTGTGGCCAGTGCTGCACGGCGGCAGTTTATTCCCTTTTGGTGCAACGGGCTTCTTTAATTTCTCTCTCTCTCTCTCTCTTCCCTTTTTTCTCTTTTTCTGTTTATTGTTGTGTGTTTACCCCTTACCCGGCAATTGACAGCAGCGCGGCATACCACTGTGTGAGCGGTCTACAGGGATTCAAGTGCGAAGAAGCGAAAGGAGAAGGCGAGGGAGTGAGCAACAGGGAGAGGAAAACGTGCGTGCGTAATGTTCCGTCGTTGTGCAGTCAAGCTTAACCCTTACGATGTTGTTGTGATTGGCGGTGGTCCTGGCGGCTACGTGGCATCTATCAAGGCCGCACAGCTGGGCATGAAAACGGCGTGTGTCGAAAAGCGTGGCACACTGGGCGGCACCTGCCTCAACGTCGGTTGCATCCCTTCGAAGGCGCTTCTCCACGCGACCCACTTGTACCACGATGCCCACGCCAACTTTGCACGCTACGGCCTAATGGGTGGCGAGGGAGTCACAATGGACAGCGCAAAGATGCAGCAACAGAAGGAGCGGGCAGTGAAGGGTCTCACCGGGGGCGTGGAGTACCTGTTTAAGAAGAACAAGGTGACATACTACAAGGGCGAGGGCAGCTTTGAGACGGCTCACAGTATAAGGGTGAATGGTCTTGACGGCAAGCAGGAGATGTTTGAGACGAAGAAGACAATTATTGCCACAGGTAGCGAACCGACGGAGTTGCCCTTCTTGCCGTTTGATGAGAAGGTGGTGCTCTCTTCCACAGGTGCCCTCGCGCTTCCTCGCGTCCCCAAGACGATGGTAGTGATTGGCGGCGGCGTGATTGGTCTCGAACTCGGCAGCGTGTGGGCGCGGCTTGGGGCGGAGGTTACGGTTGTTGAGTTTGCACCTCGCTGTGCTCCGACGCTTGATGAGGACGTCACGAACGCCCTTGTAGGAGCCCTCGCGAAGAATGAGAAGATGAAGTTTATGACGAGCACGAAGGTGGTGGGCGGGACGAACAACGGTGACAGCGTGTCCCTCGAGGTGGAGGGTAAAAACGGCAAGCGTGAGACGCTCACGTGTGAGGCACTACTTGTGTCTGTTGGGCGGCGGCCATTTACGGGCGGCCTTGGCCTGGATAAAATTAACGTTGCGAAGAATGAGCGTGGTTTTGTGAAGATTGGTGATCACTTTGAGACCAGCATCCCGGACGTGTACGCCATTGGAGATGTTGTCGACAAGGGTCCAATGCTCGCACACAAGGCGGAGGACGAGGGCGTGGCGTGCGCTGAGATACTTGCTGGTAAGCCCGGCCACGTGAACTACGGCGTTATTCCTGCTGTCATCTACACTATGCCAGAAGTGGCGTCCGTTGGCAAGAGCGAGGAGGAGCTCAAGAAGGAAGGCGTCGCGTACAAAGTTGGCAAGTTCCCATTCAATGCGAACAGCCGCGCGAAGGCGGTAAGCACTGAAGACGGATTTGTAAAGGTTCTTGTCGACAAAGCGACAGACCGCATTCTTGGCGTGCATATTGTTTGCACTACTGCTGGTGAGCTTATCGGTGAGGCTTGCCTTGCGATGGAGTACGGCGCGAGTTCGGAGGATGTTGGCCGCACCTGCCACGCCCACCCGACAATGTCAGAGGCCCTGAAAGAGGCGTGCATGGCATGCTTCGCGAAGACTATTAACTTTTAAAATTTTTTTATGCGGCGTCTACACGTACATCCACGCACATAAGCTAAAAAAAGAAAAATGCTTATATGAGGGCGGCTGTACGTACACACGCCGGAGTATGAATGACCCAAAAGAGGGAGACTGGTGGACTCCTTAATCAACGTGAAGAGATGATAGCTAAGGCAGAAGGATAAGATGTATTAAAAGAAAAAAAAAAGTTGTGAGTAAGAGGATTAATAATAATAAAAAAAAAAAAGGACGGGAGGAGGAGGAGGAAAAGAGCCGAGGGGGCAAAAAAAAAAAAAGGTGAGGAAGGCACATCGTGCATCACCCCCCGCTGTCTATGTTGTTAGTGTGTAGGGGAAGTAAATAGGTCTCCGTGGGGTTGGGTAAGGTGCACACGCGACATATGAGGAAAGGAACGAAAACAAACTAATAGGGGAACAGCAGCAGCAAAGAATAAACAACAGATGAGAAATGCACCGGAGGGTTTTATTCAGCAGCGAATCAAAGGGGATGAGTAATTAGATATTTGTGTGGATGCATTTGTGTTTGTGTGTGCGATGGGAGGGTATAAAAGGCGCAAAGCAACAACAATTCAGGAACGGAGGTGAAGACGGGAGGAAAGAAGAGGAGGGTGCGAGTGTTTCTCTTTCTCTCTCTCTCTCTCTCTCTCTCACTGTCTGTCTTGATGGATATCTGCACGCGTGCAACCGTGAGAGCCGGACGTCCTTGTATGGTTACTTGCCTCGGTCACTTTTATTTTCCTTCTTTCTCTTTCTTTTGGAGAATGAGGATTATAATGCCCCCCTACGGGATTGACGGACGCTTGTCAACTGTGAGAGAGCACCGGGGACGGGGGGTGAGAGGGGGGCCCATTGCGCTGCGTTTCTGTCGATGTGTCTGCGCCCACAGACGCCTCTCTTTTCTCCCTCTCGTGCAGCCTCAGGCGTGTTGGGATACTGGCGGCTGTTGTGTGCACGTCGTCGAAAGGAATTCTTCTTTTTTTTTCTTTTCTCTTTTATCTGCTCTTGCGCTTGCGCAGACACCCAGACGGGATTAGACGCACATTAGACGTAACGAACACAACACCCCTTCCCCTCTTCCTCCTTGGAGAAAAAAAGACAACAACACACACACAAACAAAAAAGGAAGAGAGGAGAACGAGAGGCGGAGGACAAAATACACCAGAAAAAACAAAAAGAAAAAAAATCAAATAGCAGCAGCGGCAGCCAAAAAGACAGAAGGAGGGATAAAGAAAAAGGCAAAAACAACAAAAAAGAGATACTTAGAAGGAGGCTGCAAAATCACGCGGAAGAAAAGACCAACAGGGAGAAGGGGACACAGTAGAAACACGGAGGGGGTCAAGTGAACCACAGGACGGGTTGGTGTCTGGTAGACGGCATTCACTGCCATTTCAAACATTAAGCCCCAAGATGAACTCCACAACACTGCGTGAAGTGTCGAACCTTTCGGGAAGCATTGGCGATGTAAAGCAACGTCTTGCCCAGCGCATTGGTGGCGGCTGGGGTTCATATCGCCTTGGCTCCTCCACGACCGTGTCTAGATCAAGTCTCCGTGACTTTGGCTCTGGCGCAACGGAAAGGGCGAAGGAGATGCTTGTAAGCCCCCGCGCCGATCGCTACCACGCGGAGGATCCTGTTTACTGCAACGACCTTGTCAAAGATATTACTGTCATGTACATGGAGAAGGAGAAACAGGCGGAGGGACAGTTAGCCAATGATCAGGTCGTGGTGTCACCAAAATACTTAACGTATCAACCTGAAATTAATGAGAAAATGCGTATGATTCTGGTGGATTGGCTCATCGACGTCCACCTGAAGTTCAAGCTTCACTCTGAAACAATGTACCTGGCGGTGAACATCTTGGACCGCTACCTCTCCTGTGTGAACACCAAGCAGTCATCGGGAACGTACGTGGCCCGTTCGCAGCTGCAGCTCGTAGGCATTACCGCCATTCTTTTGGCCGCCAAATACGAGGAAATTTGGCCCCCAGAGGTGAAGGAGTGTGTACACATCAGCGCCAACACATACACACGGGAAGAGGTGATCAAAATGGAGCGCAACGTTTGTGCTGCTCTGTCCTTCCGTTTGACGGTACCAACGCCATTTCCCTTCTTAGTGCGTCTGCTGAGCGTCATGGAAGGGTTGGTGCACTCTGGCTCCTTGTCGGAGGATTACACCCTCCAACTACCACTCCTGCGTCACACTGCCCTCTTTTTTCTGGAGCATGGCATGCTTGACTACAAATGCCTTCAGTTTAAATCATCCCAACAGGCGAATGCCTCGTTGTTTCTGGCACTTGTAACCCTACGCATCAAACAAAAAGGCGGTTCTTGTTCTTTTGCGGGCGAAACAATTTGGACGCGCCAACTACAGCACTACAGCAGGGCAAGGGTACATGAATTCAAAGCATGTGCGGAGGCTATACTGGAGTTTGTGAACTACGTTCCCACGACGAAGTACCAGGCGGTGCGACGCAAGTATAGCAGTGCGAAGTACGGTGAGGTGGCGAAGCTCATCATGCCTAACGAGGTCCCTGACTACTGAGAAGAGGAAAAAAGGATCCATGTTTATTACTGTATCTTCACTTTCCCATTCATGTAGGTATTTGTGTCCATCTTTTTGTGACATGGGTTGGGCCAGCTGTCGTTCCTTTCCTTTCAGCGCCGTGTACAGTCACGGGTTGATGCGATTAGTGAGGTGAGGGTGAAGAAGAGAAACATTGGGCCTGGGCGGGAGCCGTTGACGCATGTCTTCTTTCTGCTTTCCCGTTCCCGGCGTGTTTTTTTTTTTTTTTCTTGCCCGTCCCGCGCCGGACAACCTCTTGTTTTGTTTTGCTTCTTTTTTTCTTGTGTTTATTCTTCCATCCGTCACTGATTTTTCTTTTACTACGCTTAGAATATAGATTCACTCATTTTTTATTTTTTATTGCATGCATGACACTTCTCCCCCCGCTTCTCCTTTTCTTTTTAGGCGGAGTTCGCCGCGCTGGAGGGACTGCGGCCTGCTTCAGGCCGGGCGGTTGTTGTTGTTGTTGTTGGGGGGCGGGGCTCAGAAGAGAATGAGCGGCAAGGGGGGAGGAGCGAATGAAAAAGAAAAATGACAGTCAAAAAGAAAAGAAACGAACACTAAAAGTACTGTGACGGGGGTTTGGCGCCGGGAGGGGGTGGGGGGAAACAAAAGAAGAAAATAAGGCCGTCGCCCCTCTCATTGTGTGTGTGTGTGTGTGTGTGTGTGTGGCAAGTGAACAGAGGTGAAGGCGAGACAGCACGCACACAGACAAATGAGAACAAACAAAAAACGGAATTAATTTTTTTAGCCCCCTTTTTTAACGCCAATGTTGTGATTTATTTTTGAAATTCTTTTTAGATGAAGAGTTATTTGTTTGTAATGGACCCTCTTCCTCCTCGCTCTTTTTTTTTTTTTTTTTTTTTTTTTTTTTGTGCCTTGTTTATTTTATTATTATTTTTCTTGGGGTGTCATTTTGTGTGTTTCCCCGGTGTTGAGGAGGAGGAGGGAACCCAATGAGTATTTGTAGA